GGAGCGATGAACCGAGCGGTGGTGCGAGTGGAGCACGCAAGCGCGCTCTTCATTTGCCCCCTGGCCCTTCCCCTGAAGGTGACAAGAATCGCAGCCCGTGCCTCACACTTGGGGGCTGGCAGAAAGGGGGGACGCATCGACCTGAAATCGGCGATACATCGCCCATACATCGGCAGTCGGCCCCCGATAGTGAATCCGCGCGCTCCTGGCCAGGGGGCCCCTATCGGCGATCTGTAAGCCATTGGGGGGGTCGATGCGACGCCCCCAATCATGCCCATCCCCCCCCCTTTGTCGCTGCCCCTGAACACTGCCCCTCTCTGAGGGGGATGGGGGGGGCGAAGAGGTCTCCCTCCCCGCGCCTGCATGGAGTCGCAGAAATAGTCCTCGCACTCCGAGGGCTCCTTGCTGCCGCGCATGGGCACCAGGGACCTCGGCAGAGCAGAGCAGAGGTGACGGGCCTGTCTTCCACCACCACCACCATCAGTTGCAGGGGGGGAGGAGGTGGAGGACGAGGTGGAGGACGAGGAGGAGGAGGAGAACGAGGACGAGAAGGAGGAGGAGGAGGAGGAGGACCCCTCCACCTCCAACTTGTGGTGGCGGTGGTGGAAAACAGGCCCATCAAGAGGGCCACCGCGGCGTTTGCCGCGCCGCCTCTCGGCGCAGCGGAGCCCCCTCCTCGTCCCGCCTCGTCCCGGCTCTCCTCCTCGTCCCTCGGTTCCCCTTCATTTCCCTTCCCTTCCCTTCCTTCCTTCCTTCATCCTCCTCCTCTTCTTGCTCCTCCTCCTCCTCCTCCTCCTCCTCCTCCTCCCCTCCTCCTCCACTTCTTCTCCTCCTGCGCCTCCTGACTGCCTCTATGCCCTCTCCTTCCAGACAGCTCCTCCTCGTCTGACCACGCCTGACACTTCTGGATTAAGGCGGGGTGTCTTCAAAATGTGATACACCGCGCACAGTCGCCCCAAAAGCCAACAACTACCCAGATGAGGGCGGTTCCTTTTCAAAGTGTGGCTCTCTCGACTCATCGCCGCGCACATGCGTCTTACAAGCGTCGAGCAGCTACATGGACGGAGCGGGGGTCGTTTTCAAAATGTCGAAAACTCTGCATGAGTTTGAGAAACATGGTGGCTCCATTGACGTTTCGCCTTTTCGCCTTCGATCGGCCTCTGAAGCCTCAAGGTGTCCTGGAGAACATCGAAGAGGGCTGCAAGAGATGCCCAAAAGGGGCACAGGAGGGCCCACAACACCTCCCGGGAACACTCCGAAAGCCCCAGCAGGGCTCCAGGAGGCGACCTGCCGCTAACTACGTCTGTATGCTTGCCTGGAGGGACCGATCTGGCTGTTTGAGCCAGACCTCCCACAGTGGAGGTGCCCTGGGGCAATGTCCCTCCCGTGCCCCTCCTGCGAGCATCATGTGAGCTTCCCGTGCGCGCCCGCTCGCTTTCGTCGCACATCGCGTGACCAACGGCGACCAGGAAAACCACTCCAGGCGTGCTCGCTCGCTTCTGGGGGGCACGTTGCGACACAAACGGTGTCGCCAAGAAACTCACTGCAAGCGTGCGAGCTTGCGGCGCACACAGCGTCGCCAGCGTTGCTCAGAAGCACGCAAGGAGGCTCACTTCATCCATGCCCGCTCGCGTCTGGCAGCCATTGTTTTGCCAGCGCTGTTGCCAATAATCAAGCCACCCCGAGTGCGCCTCCTGGCGAACATCGCCCAACCACCGTTGCTGCCAGCAGCCCGCCAGGAAACCAACTCCGATCGTGCCCGCTCGCTTGAGGTGGTGATCGCGTGACCAGCACAGCTGCCAGCAGAAAGTCCACTCCACGCGTGCCCGCTCTCTTCTGGCGCACATCGCCTCGCCAGCAGTGTTGCCGAGAAGCTCAGTCAAAGTGTGCCTGGCGGGCCGCGCAAGGAATGGTTTGGCTCGGTCTCCCGCAAGCATGCGAACCGACCTCCTTTCCTCCGCCTCCTCCCTCCATTCCTTGTCGTTATCACGAACGACTCCCTGTTGCACCCCGACGCCGGTCGAAACGGCGGGCTGGGCATTCAGCCTAAGATTTTCTCACCACTGATCATCCTGAAGCTCAACATTTGCATCAATTCCACGGAAGGAAAACGGGCCTTCGCCTGGACGCCGCGCGCGTCTGTTCTGAAAGCTTGCAGATGTTTCACGGATGGAGGGCGGGTTGTTTTTGAAATGTTCCTCTCGCCTCGGCGCCGCGCACATTCGTGTTACAAACGCAAGAGTTTACGGATGGACAACTGCCCCTTCTCAAAATGTGGTTCTCGACGTCGCGCCGCGAGCATTCGATTTAAGAGCTGGCAACCTTTTTCAAGAATTCGCATTGCTTATGTCCGATAAAAAAATGTGTGGCACGATGTCAGACTGTCAAGGCGCAACAGTTACGTTGATTCGCGGTGTTGAAATCACAAGAATATTGTTCTGGCGCGACTCAGGGTTGCCAAGACGCACCAGCAATGGTGACTCGCAAAATTTGTCTCAGGAGTGGTGTTCTGGCACATTCCAGGATTTATTAACAATTGTTGTCCAACGGGGTATTTCTTTTGCTGGAGATGACTCCGTGCAGGGGCCTATGAACAGGGAGGTCTTGGGAGAGTGTACTGTAATCTCGTTGATGACGTTCGGGCTTAGACTGGTCCTCTTCCTCCTCGTCCTCTTCCTCCTCCTCCTTCTCCTCCTCACCCATCGCCTTTTACTACTGCTACGACGATTAGCCCGCAACTAAAATTATACTACGACGGCTACTACAACTGCTACTACGACTACTGTCGCCACTATTACTACTACTACTACTACTACTACTACTACTACTACTACTACGACTACGACTCCTACGACGAAGGGCCCCAACGACTACTACGACGACTCCTACTGTTACTACTCCCACTACTACTTCTACTGCTACTACTCCTACTACTACCACTACTTCTACTACTACTAATTAATGAAGGGATTTTTGTTACTCATAATATCTTAATCAAGGGAGACTAAACTACTTACGCACTACTCGCGACTACGACTACGACTACGCCTACTACTACTAACTACTACTACTACTACTACTACTACTAACTACAACTACAACTACAACTAACACTAACACTAACTACCACTACTAACTACTACCGTAAACGACTAACTACCTAACTACTACGACTACACTGGGCTAGTACTACAACTACTACAAAATACTAACTGATCTAACTACAAGCACTACTACTACTACTACTACTAACTACACTACTGCACTATTTTTCCGTTTACTACTACTACTACTACCACTACCACTACCACTACCACTACCACTACCACTACCACTACCACCACCACTACCACTACCACTACCACTACTACTACTACTACTACTACTACTACTACTACTACTACTACTACTACTACTACTACTACTACTACTACTACTACTTCTACAACTACTACTACTACTTCTACTACTACTACTACTACTACTACTACTACTACTACTACTACTACTACTACTACTACACTACGACTACGACTACGACTACGACTACGACTACGACTACGACTACGACTACGACTACGACTACGACTACGACTACGACTACGACTACGACTACGACTACGACTACTGCTACTACTACTACTACTACTACTACCACCACTACTACTTACTACTAACTACTAACTAGTAACCACGAACCGCTAACTACTACTACTACTACTACTACTACTACTACTACTACTACTACTACTACTACTACTACTACTACTACTACTACTACTACTACTACTACTACTACTACTACTACTATACTACTACTACTACTACTACTACTACTACTACTACTACTACTACTTCTACTTATACTTCTACTTTTACTTATACTTCAACTTCAACTTATACTTCTACTTCTACTTCTACTGCTACGACTACTACGACTACTACTACGAACTACCACCACTACCACCACTACAACAACAACTACTACTACTACTACGACTACTACTACTACTGCTACTACCACTACGACGACTACCGCTACTACGACTGCGACGACAACTACTACTACGACTACTACTACGACTACTACTACTAGTGCTGCTCTACTACTACTACCACTACTACTACTACTACTGCTACTACCACTACAAGTACTAATAGTACGACTAGTACTACTACTACTACTACTACTACTACTACTACTACTACTACTGCTACTGCTAGTACTACAACTACTACTATTACTACTACTACTACTACTACTACTACTACTACTACTACTACTACTACTATGACTACTACCACTACTACTACTACTACTACCACCACCACCACCACTACCACCACTACCGCCACGAACTACTGTTACTTACCACTACTGCTACCACGACAACTACTACATCCCCAAGCCGAAAGTTTCTTCCTCTTGGCGCTGAACCTAACGGTCACGCGCGTTGCACGGGACCTCTGGGAAATCAAAACGGCGAACCCAATGAAGGTCGCACGGGTCCAATTTCCAATCTCACCGTAATCGCGGCGGACCCCATTTCCGCGCGCGCGGGTCCGATCCAATTCCTGATCTGCGGGCTCCGTGTCGGACCCTGATTTTGACGGCGGATCCCATGTCCACCCCGTTTTGAAACTATAATATTGAATTCGTTCCAGGAGCCGACAAGAATGGAACCCGTCGGCCGCAGGCCCCCACCCTGTTGAGATTATGCGGGGGGCCGGGGTGGTCCTCTTCGACTTCAAGAGGGGAAATATTTCGCCCTGCGCCGCAAGTGCGCCGGCGCCCCGGGCCCCCCGACCCAACGGGCCCCCTGAAGTCCCCACCGCGCGGCGGCACGCCGCGCGGCGTTCGGCGCCGCGTCTGGGCATCGCATTTTCAAAACGGCGGCTGCCGCCCAAAAGCACGGCGGAGTGGAAGGCAATTTCTATTCAGAACGGCGGCCCCCGCCCAAGCACTGCGGACTGGACGGCGGCGTCTTTTCAAAGAGGTCGCCCCCGCTCAAAGCGCGGCGGAGTGGAGAGCAGCGCCCTTTCACGCCGGTGGCTTCTGCCTCAATCACAGCGGGGCGCGCGCGCCGAAACGTCGCCCACGCGCGCATGTGCGCTGGCCTCTCCGAGCCCTTCGGGCAGCGGCTGCCGCGGCTCATTGGCGCCGCGCGCAGGTCAATCCCGCCTCGCCGCGCCGCCCTCTAGGGAGTGGATCGCCCCGCGCCCCTTAAAATTCAATTACGCTGGCAGCCACCGTCTTCGACCTCGCAGCGTTCGCGACGCGCCGCGCGCGGAGCTTGCCCTCCGCCTTGGACGGGGCGGCCCTCTGCGCCCCGGCGCCCATGAGGTCCAAGGCGCGCGGCCGCCGGCGCGGCCAACTCTCCAG